TATCTCTGTCTTCCGTTTCCTTTCGTCTTCATTACACAGTTCTTGTAAGAAACAATGAGTGTGGAAAAAATCTTGCAAAGTGTGTTTCTATTTGTTGGTAGGCCGTTACCAAATGCTGGCTCGCATTCCTACGGTACCCTGAGAGACGAAGGAGATGGATGTATGTCGTTGAGAGGTGGAGGGTTAATTTACATATGGAAATTTGCTAACATTAGTGTACCAAGCTTATTTTCCGTACATGCATGCCTCTTGCTGAAACAGGCTATGAACTGGCAGTATATATGCCTAAATTTTCAGAATGGCATTTCTGATAGGTAGCCTTGTGTAGGCAGATTTTTAGATTAAAATTACTATTCAGGAGTTGGTGAAATCAAATGTAAAAGGAGAATAAAACAACAAAAGGAACCCAATAACAATGCAAGTAGAGGTGTAACAAAAGCCCAAAGACCTTCAAAGTACATGTGCTTTGGCCAAGATATGCATTTTCATCTGTGAACCCAATATGAGAATTTAAGGTTAAATATCCTCTTACATAGGCCCTCCTTTGTTTATTCAGTATATGTACAGTGAACAGAATACTTTCTATTTAGAAGAATAGGCACTGATCTCTGTGGTGACCAGTTACAGGACCCAAGGAAATGGCCTGAAGTTGTGTCGGGGGGGGTTTAGGTTGGATATCAGGAAAAGGTTTTTCACCCAGAGGGTGGTTGGGCGCTAGAACAGGCTTCCCAGGGAGGTGGTCACAGAACCAACCCTGCCAGAGTTCAAGAAGTGTTTGGATGATACTCTTAGACACATGGTGTGACTGTTGCGAATGGTTATGTCAGGACCAGGAGTTGGACTCGATGATCCTTGTGGGTACCTTCCAACCCAGCGTATTCTGTGATTGTGTGAATATTTTGTATTTACAGCTGTTTCTTTAGGTAATGATGTATCATTTGTTATTACTGCAGCAGAAAATGACAGACTTCTTCAAATGCATGTTTACTGAAATCAGAATTATACCTAGAAATCACCATGCCCCTAAATCCCATGAGTTCTGTGTGTCTGGAGATGTATATACCTTTACTCAAATGCAAGGGATACAGGTAAAGATAACTTGCATTATGTAGTATTAAGAATTAGATGTTGAAAATTGGTATAAGAATAGCACTAGTCTGTAAACTTCAGTGAATAAAGTATAAAATGGTTTTAAATAAATGGTAGAGGAGCAGCAGATGGGGAATGGTGGGGACTATTGATGCAAAGCAACAAACAAGATGCCTAAAGGCTATAGTCCTTTCAGAACTGTAGAAATTTTGTTAAGAATCAGTAAGCAGTTTAGATTTACTTTGTAGTATGCAAGTTATAAGTTATGTTTCTCATGTCAGACTCTGAAGTAATTGACAGTTGTTGCACTCTGGGACCACATCAGCCTAAGACATCATTGCAAAGGAGAGTCAAAAGACATAATAAATTCAGTCCTGGTGAGATAAAATATATTCTAAAATTGTGATTGAACCTAAATCTAAATAGAAAATCTTTTCTAAAAGAATGTTTTTATTGAGGAGATATAATTTGTGATATTTCGGTCACCTTCAGTTATTTAATTATTTGTTTTTTAATAACCTACCTCTTTTGTTTCTGACATTCTTAGAAGCAGAAACTCAAAACTTTCACATCCTTGAAGACTGAACAGGACCATTTAAATTTACTAATATTAAGTTTGTGCATACCTTCTGTCATTGTTAAAACTGCAGTATACTACTTATTGTTTAAAACTACTTATAGTTTAATTCCCTTCTGATTTCACCTCTTAGCAGGGGCAGCTTAGATGAATTTAGATGTAGGATTCATTTGGACCATTGTATACTTCACTTTCAAAATGAGGTTGTATCTCTTTTTTTCCTTAATTCCACTCTTCAGATAATAA